CAGAAGGCTTGGTCATGCAGCAGGACTTCTGGCCTATCTTCCAGAAAGAGAAGAGAGGGGATTTATTCCTTTCACTTTATCAAGTGATGGAGCTACAAGTATGTTTTAATTGTCTCAGTGTCCCGAAAGACGTGAAAAATAATAATGAACAGGAGCGAAAGAATGGCTTTCACCCCATCCTCTTTGGCAGTGGTGCTGAGGGTCGCACTGTCCCTGTTAGGAGCGAATTCAGCGATTCCCATGTTCTCTCCTGGGTGTCTGCAGAGTGGCTTTCCAGGCAGCAAAGGGATTTTTCCTCAGTTTTGCCATATGACCGCTCCCGTCTGGTGTTTCGGCTGATAGCGTGTCATTGCCAAAACGGGACAACCCTTGCACCACTCCCTGGAGCTCCTTGAGCCATCCAAGTCACTAGTCCGGCAGAACACTAACCCAGAGAAGAGACCAAGAGAAGCCATTCGGACAACTTTCTGTAGGCGTGGAGACCCAAACGGACCACAGAGGGTCTGACGAGCCATCAGAGCTGCGCGTTGGGAGCGGGGTGAATCGGAGGGGAGAAGGATGCAGAAGTGAGACCACCCTGTATGAGCAGCAGTGAGTCCTTACATCAGGCCAGCTGCTGTGAAACCACAGCCTAAAATTCCCCTCCTAACCTACACTTTCAGTGCTTTTAATTGATATTCTTTTAAATCCAATCGGTATCTCCGTGGGTTTTACTTTTGTGCCCATCTTGGTATTGTTCGTGTTTGTCTTCACCAACTCGTGTGCTTTCCTGAAGACCCGGAACACCAACCCCGAGCCAGAGGCAGTGCCCCCCTCCCGCAGGGCCCTTCCGCCAACGCACGTTGACAACAACAGGGACAAAAACCGCCGAATGCTGACTGCTGGTCATCTGTCCGCACAGCGCCCAGCGAGGCTGTGGATGGCGCCGTCCTGCGCGGTGTCCCCGGCCACAGGCAGCGGCAGTGCCCCCATCCCACACGGTGTCCCTGTCCCACGCGGTGTCCCCATCCCATGCAGTGTCCCCCATCCCGCGTGGTGTGTGCCTCCTGTCCCACGCAGTGTCCCCCGTCCCGTGCGGTGTCCCCGGCCACAGGTAGCGGCAGTGTCCCCCATCCCACGCAGTGTGCCTGTCCCACACAGTGTCCCTGTTCCACGCGATGTCCCCCCTCCCACGTGGTGTGTGTCCCCCATCCCACACGGTGTCCCTGTCCCATGCAGTGTGTGTCCTCTGCCCCACACCGTGGTGTCCCCGCCCC